CCCCCCCCCCCCCCCCCCCTCCTACCTGCTTGTTGTTCCTTTCCTACAATTATTGTAGAATGCTAGGGTTAGGTGGCGGCGGTGCTGTTTCCATTAGATAGACTTTACTTTTATTGCTAGGGGAACCCACACCTTCCTTTGCGTAGAATGTGCGACTTGGGGTGCGCCTTCGAAAGCTCGTGTCTTGCATGCCGATATGAAGTCGGAGTTGTCACGCGCAAAAAAGGTGGTCGGGATTACTTCGTCTTTCTTCCTCACAGCGCGTTTTTGTGCGCGATCCTACTACCGTATAATCAGCAAACAAATAGAGAGGACTCTCGCCAGCGGCCCTTTTCACAAGGAACATGCATGCATCAACCGCGTACGGCTTTCGTTGATTTTCCTTCAAATCAACGCGTGGAGATTGAACACAAAACCTCGCCCGAGTAAAAGGGTGCATGGTGTGTACAACCATCACTCGAATGGTACGAGAATTCTGGGAGGTTGGAACCCCAAAAAGCCAGATATTCGTGTTGGGCGTTGGCTTCGACCCTTTCGAGTGAGACGTGCCTACTACGCATACGTACAGGCGAAGCCATCAACATAACGTTCAATAAACAGCCCGAAACCGGCATGTGTCGGTGTGTGGACGACAAAATAGCCCGAACGAAAGGCCATGAATACCAGCTGCATCAAGCTCCGGAAAAACACTCGCATTCATTCACATGCACGGCTTCACGACGTTGACAGCAGGTCTGTTCTCGTTGTCATTTCGGCACGAGAAGCGCTGTGTGCGTGTCTGGTGCTTCCAGTGTCACCCGCACAAGGGAGACGCCAGGCTCTATCTACTCTTGCCCTCAACCAACGATGAGCTTCGTGCCGTGATCATCATGTGCACATCTATACCACACCCACCATGCTCCAGCTTCAAATCGGTTGCGCAAACGGTTCGTCCCTTATGTAGCCCATCTGCGTATCTGTCTATCTAGCCGCGAGGGTGATGTTTAAATGAATGGGAGAGTATGCATACGACTTCTCCAAACAAGCCGAGAGGAAAACGCTGGTCCAGTCTCCGCTGCGCGCAGCACACAGACCACAAGCTTTATGCATTACACCGCCCCCAGACGCACGCCTTCAACGATGAGGCCCTCCAGTCGGAAGGAGTCAGTGGCCACCTTCAAGCGGTCCTTAGCGCCCCCTTCTTGATCCCAATCCGTGTTCAACGCGCCTGAATGATCAGCCCCACGTAACAGCAGCAAGCGAAGTACATTGTGCGTAAGGCGTTCAAATGGAGTAAAAGGATGGAGACGCGTTGCAGGAACCGGTACGACGAAAGGTTCTCTTGGTGGGATGAGACCTGTTCTTCGCGGTCTGGGGAGGCGATAGTCAAAGCAGTCGCACCGTCTTCTACAACCATCTATATACCCACGACAATGTCCGTGAAAATCTTGCAACAGGCACGAAGGAGCTTCTTCGAATTCGCTCCAAAGAACATGCTTCACACGGTGGTACATGCCGACGAAAGACGAGCTGCTGGTCGCAAACGCACCTGCCCAGACAACGAGAAAGCTGCCGTCGCCGCGCATGATGGCCTTGACGTACGTGTTCCGGTACAGCTCGCTCACCCCTTGCTCCTTCTCCAACAAGTCGGCCCGCATCACCTTGATCGGCGACTTGAGCATAAACTGCGGATGAACCGATGCGAACACAACGAGCACGCGCGTGTCCCTCGGAGTGAAACAAATGTTAGAAAATAAAAAAAGCGCGTGCAGGGACCAAAAGGACAGCAGGAAGTACTTAGCGGCACGAATCCCGCAGAATGCCAGAACGACCGAACCTAAGAGGAGACGGGTCGCGATCGGCAGCCATTCTCGGGTGAGGTACAGTATCACCGCGAATGCACGACGCCCGCAAATGCAGTCGACAGCTCGGTCGCTCGTTGTCATCCGACAGGAGGCCCTACCTGCGCTTGGCAGGACCAATCGCGCGCTCTCGTCGTTCAAGCACAGGGCGCGTAAGCTTCTGGGGAGAATCGCAACGTGCCCATGCAAGCCCCGTCCGTGTGTACTCTCGGCATGGAGGAGTTGCGTCTAATAGGTGATATTCGCATCGGCCTTACTGGTGGTGGACCTACAAGAGACCGAACGTTGCAATTCTGCCTGCCGCATCTGACAGCTTTTCCTTCGGAAACGAGCCACCACAAGAGTACGTCATTCCGAAGTCGCCGGGTCATGGCAATATATATACAACACGGCGGGTGCGCTTGATCTCTACCAGAACAAAAAAACAGGAAGCCTTGCCCGTGCGACCCTGCGGTGCCGCTCGTCCCGAAAAAAATCTTTCGCAAGAAACAAACCCATGGCTCGATAGGTAAAGATGAAAAATCGCTGTGGCGAAGCCCTCTTCGGACTCTAACTACTGCATGTGGCAACAATCGCTCCTGCTCATTGTACGGGAAACATTCATCATGTGCACAGACGCCGGTGTTTCCATGTTTCTATACGTACACGAGCCGCCCCCCGAAAGGCCGAGACTCGCTTCTACACCCGCGCGGACTCAACATCCTTGACAACACACGAGTTTTTTGTCTTCTCAAGTTCGGCCTGCTGACCTGCAGAACGTCTCCATCCAGTGTCACCCCGGGAAGGACGACGCTTTCCACCGGAGTTCCCCCCGCCGCGTCAGAATCTCTTCTCTGCTTGAGCAGGTCCGCGATCGCCGCAGGCTTGCCCACGTTCTCCCACTTGGTCAGATCTCCTACCGTAGGCAGGCCTGTTGAGTTGGGGGTGGAACCGCAAAAACGTTACTGGTGGGGAAAGCAGGTTTGTAGATCTCAGCCTGTTGTTGGATAGGTGAAGCAGGTATGCATGGAAATCTGAGCTCTTGGTTGGACGGGGCTGAAGGGGGTTTGATCAACGCGGACGGTGACGGACTAAGAGCTTTACTACTGCTGTAGACGTACACGAAAAAGTATACGGGTGTCGCCGGTCCAGACGCTCTCCCACCAAATCTCCACAACCCCACGGTTCATCCCTGGAGACTATGTCGTCTTGCGATTCCTCTCGCAGAATCCCGCCTACCCCACCACTTCCCCGCTCTAGCCTCCGCAGATGTGCCGCCGCCACGCGCATTACACAGCAGTTCATCAGGTGCTACGCTGCCTGAGTCCCAGCGTACTGTACCCACGGAACCCAAAACGCGGTGCCATGTAGACCACCGACCACCAGCGGTTCATTCCCAACGAATCACATCGTCCGCATAACGTGGAAGCAGCGTCTGGTCTCGATCGTTCATGCGCTACAATCCCAAATCCTCGCCTGCATCTCCGTCAGGGGTTGGCAGGTGCCGGCACAGGCAACGGGCGCCGTGGAGTTTCGGCAACACTACACGCGAGACGCACGCATGCTCGAGGTTATCGTGGTCGTGCATTAAAATGGTTTTGGTGATGTACACGACCGCCACCTTCTGCTCGTCTACGTCCGACTCTTGGGGCCCAAGCTCGCGTGAAAACAACCTTATCGTGCGAGTCTTTCGCCCTCAAGGCTGACCTCTACGGTAAGATACACAAGAGGATCGACCGACAACGACCGCCTCTTCACCTGCATCGGTCAAAAGGTCGAAGGCCTTCACCACTTGGACCGACAAGACTTCGGCTTTGCTGTAGTCGCCGGCAACGAATACCGTGCCCCGCTTGTCCTTGGCGCGCTCTGCCCGCAGAAAATTCTTGGGGATGAGGCAGCTGAACAGCCCGCGCGAATCTTCGAAGTCCACGAACTCGGTTGCTGCGGTGAAAGCACACGCAGCAACATTACGCGGGGGGGGTAACATGACTTGGGATGGGAAGAAGCAGGCGAGTCAAGACAAGGTGCGTCCGCCAACGAACACCATCCGCCGTTGTTGCATGGGTCGTGTCGAGATCCTTCACCAAGTTCAACGTGGAAGTCACGTGCCTCACACAGCAGTCGGGTAAGTCCCAAAGGCAAGACCATGAGACCACAAACGAGTTGTTGATACTGCAAGTCGGTGTTTCCCGTGTGCATGAAGCATATAGTCTTATGTAGGCGATGTCTTTTTGCACCTGGGGTTCGTTCGCAGTGTTTTTTCCCGCAAAATCAGGATTTCATGTAATACCCACACGTGTTTGCAACGGAAGATAGGCTCGAGCATTACCTTTCGGGGTGCGCCGACAGATTAGGACGCTGGGCATCTCTATCCACGACACGGCAGAGAGTCTGCCTACTGAATTGGCTGTGCGGTGAGCTCGAAGGCAACATTTACGTCGACCGGTACCCCTCCAACTGAAACGTACCCGCAACTTCCGCTGCCGAGGATGGTTGCGATCCCCCAGAAACCACCAGCGCTGCCCCTCCTATTGCCGCCGCTGCTGCTGTTCGAAGGAAACCTGCTCTGCTGTCCATATCCGCCAACATCCGAGGTTGCTGTTGCTGCGCATGTTTCCATTTGAATGCCGAAGGCGGTGCAATTGAAGGGGTATTTCTTCTCGTGGGATGAAAAGCAAATGGAGCGAAAGCGATCACTCGGCAGCACAAGGCCAGAACAACTACCGCTTTGCAGGAGCTCTTCGTTGGCTGTACCCTGCGGAAACAAGACGCCAAAGCCATGTCGTTGCGGGATGGTGGGTGTTCTGCATGAGACCGCTGTGGGTCGGGGCGGCGCAGCAGGGCCAGGCGAACATGAAAATTCTACTTCAAAGTATTTTGATTTTACCCCTCCCACTACTGTACGTTCCTATCCGCGAGCCCTCTTGCCGCCCGCCGTCCGTGGCAAGCAACTGAACATGGCGATCACTGGCTAGACAGCGGAGGAGACAGAGCAAAGACAGCAGAGTGACTATCGAAGGACTGGGGAGGGTTGGAGCACATGTCGCTGTTGCGAAGAAACACGGTGGGGTGCCTGCAGACTTTAGCCCGAGGATGCAAGAATCCTAAGAAGCCCCAGCACTCCAAGCGGAGCCAGATCGGACTCTATGCCGGGAAGGACATCGGGTAGGTCGCCTTGGTGTGGTTTGTTACACAGCACACAGCACACGCTTTGTCATTATCGAAGTAAGAAGGCGACTACATGGCAATCGCTGGGAATTGCGTAAGTAGCGAAAGTGATTTTAGGTAGAGCTGCCCCTGTGTGCTTTGTAGTGTGCTACACCCTATGCGCAGCCTCTCACATGTAGTTAACACACACAGCTGTAGCTGTTTTTGCCTGTCTTGACCACGGCTGTGCTGTGCGCTGCCCCCTCTAGAAGCACCGAGGGTCTTCACGGTGCAGTGCAGCGCTGGACTCGTACTGCTTGCTTTGTTGTACGATGGTGTGACTGGAAGAAAGTCTCGCGCGATTTGTTGTTTCGAACCCCTTTCCATCTACTGTACAACTACTAAAAGGGTGCAAACATCCCATGTTGCCGTCGAAGCCTGTCCCCCCAAAAATACAGCAGTATTATTAGTTGTACACACCATTTGATGAGGAGGCCGCCGATATCTCTCGAAGAATGCTTGCCCTGCCCTCACCTTGCCGTCACCACCACCCACCGTTGCTTCGCCGCGACCTCTCGGCAGGTTCGGGAACACTATTTCATTCTCCCACAAGAAGAACCGAAGGACGTGGAAGCCCAACGTTCAGAAGAAGGCCCTCTATAGCGAAACCCTCGATGAGTAAGTGCGGCTACACTGCTGCGAGCCTAAACTTTCAGCACCACTGACTGCGGCGTGGTATGCTAAAATGTGTACCGCCAATACCTTTGTCATCGAGAACCAACCTCGGAGCCGCTGATGTTTCCTCCTGCTTGGGGTACACGAAGCGCCACTCTGATGGTAGAGCCGCCAGGAAAAATGAAAAAAAGCGGGGCCTTCCTTTGAGCGGCTGTTCGCTGTTCCACCCGTGACGGCGAGATTTCGAGATTGTTGCTTTCGTGAACAAGTATCAAGGCAGGTGGCTACGAACTACAGTAGTGATTCTGTGCATGCGAACGAAAAAACCAGCGGGGCAGTAGCACGACCGGCTTGTGCGTGTGACGCACCCTCCCCTTGAGAGCTTCCGTTACCTGGTGCTAGTAGTCAACTGCAGCGTCCTCAGCAATCGTCCTCTTTCCTGCGTTCGTCCGTCCAGCCTCAAGCAAAACACGTGATCATCCCGGGTGATGCCATTGCTTCCGAGTGTCTGCCAAGTTTGTTTTTTCGCATGCACATCGCGCCCCCTTTTTACCGCTATGCCCTCCCCGCCCCGCTGCCGCTTCGAACGTTGTGCGTACGCTGCTCCACGATCCGTTCGTGCGCACCGCTCTCGTGTCATAAAACATGGGTTGCTGCCGTAGGTGGATCAAGTTCAACTTGACGACACACGCTCTGCGGTGCGTCGACCGGGCGGGTGGCATCGACAAGTGAGTCCGTCCGAGGTCTCGTTGTGCAGTCCAAGACACGGGTAGTGTCGATCAATAGCAGAAGTTTGCGGATTCTTGCGGCTGGCTGCTGAGCGCTGTGTTCACGGTGCACTCGCCATCTCTCTCTGGCCAGTCGACGGGTGAGGGTGGAGGTGCGACGGTAGGTATGTTTTTGAGCCGCGCCTGTCGACACTTTGGAAGCCGCAAGGGCTGCATGTACAATGTCGCGGAGTAGTGCTTTGCCCCGAAGTACATGCTGACATCAATGCATCGAAGGACTCTCCTGCACCCTTTGACAGCCCCAATAATGTTGTCGCGTATCGTGCCGAACGCTTGTCGTGTTCGGGGCAATAGCAGTTGCCAATCCCACGTTGTTTTCCGAGTCTTCGCGCTTAAAGGGGTTGAGAGAGATTCGCTCGAAACACGGCCCACATTAGCGTCGCAACAGCAAACGAAGCATTCCATCAGTCTCCAATCCGCGTTCGCGATGTTGTCTCTCCCCTTGACAACACGTTGCGCGCGTACAAATGCCCAGGTACCTCCTGAAGACACCAGACGAGTGGCTTAACTCGGTGCAGGGCTCCAAGGCGAAGCGAAAGATCGAGGAGGCCCTGGCAGCGAGAGGTGACTCTTCGGGCGAGCTGCACGCAGGGGAGGAAGAAGGAGGGGCAGACGCGGGGTTGAGAGCGGAAGGTGGGCGACAATCGAGCTAACAGGCCCTCAGTGCTCCATCGTCATGGAGAAGCAACCTGGAAAGGTGCTTGACGCATGAGGAGCTGTTCCAACGGAGCGCTTAAGGAAGAAAAGCAGGAGAGAAGAGCGTCAACGAAGTTAAAATTGCTGGAGACGGAATCAGCGGGAAAGAGAAGTCGCCCGGTAGCCGTTGGCCATGCCACCCAAGGGCGAGCCGGAGGTGTGTCGAGCGCGTTTTGCTGCACCGTACACAGTTGTCTCGCCTCTTGAGCTTTGCCCTCTAGGTGGCTCAGGCCGCTTGCTGCTTGCTGCTTCTGCTGGCTCTATTGTCCGGCAAGGTACTGCTTGAGATTGCTTAAGAAGCGAAAGCGCGCGGATGTTCCCTCTCGCGCTTGAAATTCTCAACGGTTATCTTCCAGCAAGATGCCAAAACGAGCAAACCTGGGGCAACCTGCTGTATGCCCGGCGGAGCCTCCACAGTAGCTTGGGGAAGCCCGTCGCCGTTGGCAAACGATACTGCCGCGTTGCGGCCGATCATGCTCGGGATGCATGATCGAAACGACCAAGAGTGTACTGATCTGTTAGGCCTTTGATACGTTGCTCAGCGCAAGTTTGCGAGGCGGTAATGGTAGAGGGCTTGGGGAGATCGGCGTGAGCATTCCCGCTTAACGCCCGGGAATGAAAAAGTGTTTTGTGTGTGTTTCTCGAGTATTGACTGACCCCAACAGGTTGTTTGTTGGGTTGCTGGCAATAGTATGCTATCGGCCATACACTTATGATTGTTTCCTCTCGGCCGGACGGCAAAGAGAAGGCACCTCGTGGAAGGTGGGGTGTCATGTTCACTACAAACGAGGGAGAACCGAATGCATGATTTCGTCGTTCATTGACTCCATCCGACCCCTCGCACGATTGGCATGACGACTCGGCAACATGCGAGAAAGGCTGACAATATCGTACTACTGTACTGTGATCCCCGGTGGATTCACCTGGATAGACAACCTTGTGAACGTCCTTGAAAAGAATTAAAGTAAGTATCCCAAGCATATTAGCCTGCTGGCCCCAACCTTTTAGTTAGTACTGACGTCCCTCGTTTGTGGCTACATTCGCTTGAAAGTCATACTAACGTGCGCCTCCTCACCGAAACTGGTACATGTAGCAGAACGCCTCCGCAACGACACAACCGAACACCGTTCACACGTTCCCGCCGAGGCACACCACGATGCTGAACCACACCTACCCATAGAGCAGAAAATATGTGTTGTAGTGCTCCGAGAAACAAGGGGAAATAAAGGGACTCCCAAAACACATCACATCCCTCTGTAGTGTTGGCGTACCCAAGAAGAGAAAAAAAAACTCTTGTGGCTGCACCCCTCTACTGTAGATGCTGAATAGGGCACCGCATAAAAAACACCACCAAAAGTGCGAGATTACGCCATCTCCCACGGTCGCGAGATCGCTTGCCATCCCGCGGCCATGCCATCGATACGTCACGCGCCAATCGAAGCTCGCATAGAAAAACAGACAACTGGCCCGTTTGACTCGGCGCAAGGAAGCACACACCAATCCTCTCATCACAAAGCATAAAAACATCAATGGCGGGCAACGCACCGTGGCACCCCCCGCCCATATCGCGCGGGTATTTCTTACGTTTGTCACAAAAGCAACATCCAACAGCAACAACAAGTTACGAACCAGGAGTTGTGGACGCATCACAGGAGGATAGGACTGAAAACAACATCCAGCGGAAAAAACTCTTTCATCTACATTCAACCATCGGTGTCTTTGTGCCAGCGATTGTTGTGGAAAAATCAATTAGAAGATGGAGGAGATAAGTTTACGAAATTGAAGCTGCCGTACAGACAATATCTCCGTACAAATCAGGCAATAGGTCCGTCACTTGTACCGACATAATGACCAATGTCTGTGGAGTCGATATCCTTAGATCAGCCTAGCAGGTCACGGCTGTAGGAGGCAGGTTCCCGATACCCAATAGCAGTCACACAGCATCCTCACAAACTAGATATCAGGACATCAGGTCCAGCACCAACGGTCACAGTGATTTGCAAGAGATTCGAACTTGGTGGGCAAAGGCCAAGGGTATAGCTCGATCAATCTTATCTTTCGCTTCAAGGGCGGTGTTGAGTAAACACCTGTGTGATGGTTCGGGGCAACCGCCTCTTCCACGGCGGTTGCCCCCAGGGGTCAAGGGAGACGTACCCCGAACCCCTCCAGCAGGCTGAATCGGGGAGGCGTAATGGTGTGCCAGGACCCCCGATTACCACAGCTTGCGCTCTCCGGAAAACCCGTCAGCATAGCGAGATGTCCATCACCGTATTTTAAGAACCGGTGGGAAAGACCGGCCGGAACACATGTATCCCCGAAAATAAATGACAGTGGGCTGGCGATGTAACTTCACTCGGCGTACCACCCCCACATGAACACGCCTTCGAGTCGGACCTCGAGCCCGTTCTCGACGACGTGGAGGGAGTACATGGTGCTCACGGGGGCACCGTCGCCGTGGTCGTTACTGGCGTTGTTGTCGGTCGCGTCGTTGCCCTTGCCGCGGCGGCCGA